AAGTAAAAGGTTACTAGATGTTACTAGTTATTATTTGATATAAAATATTAGATAGAGTTTAGATTATTCGGTTATTCCAGAAATAATATTGTATTAAAAATTTGATTTTAATTTTGAAAAGAATCATTCGTTATACTAACTAGCTATTAAACTTTAAATCCTTAAAAAATATAATCGAAATAAATCATACGAAGATATCATTTTTTCCTAGAAATTTCAACCTAACTTTTAATAAATTTAACTATACTACATATCTTCCTAATCTTGTTTGATATATTTTCTCTATAAAAAAAAAAAACATAATGAAATGATATAACACGTGTACAGAGAATAACTATTAAAGAATACATAGAAGAATGAAATACAAGCATAGAAGAAAAAACAGAGAAAAAGAGAGATGAAGAAACAAAAACGTATGAATATATACGTAATATATACGTAAATACGAAAAGATATTATCTTTTGTTTTTTTCTTTTGTTATTAAATTTTTAAAAGAACGTGATTCATCGTTTTACAATTTTTTTATATACAAATTTTTACCAAATTTTATTATTTATTTGAAATATATTTGCAATTGATCATCTTCTCTACTCATCCATTCCTAAATATATTCAACAAATATTTCATTATGTATCTAAATCTTTCTTTCTTCCTTTTTTTTTTTAATTTAATAAAATTTTCCATAGAAAATTTATTATATTAATTATTGGCAATATATATTTCATTGGATCAATGGATCCAAAGGAACAAACATCTAAGTAAGTATTGCATTTGTAATTTTGAAACAGCCTATGTCTTTCTTTGAAAAATAATATTTCAGCAATTATTACATATGTTCATATTATTATTATTTATATTTTTACGGAACAGCTTATAGCTCTTATCCGAGAATCTGTTTTCGCATTTGAAAAATGCAATCCTGAAAGATTGTATTTTTCCAACGAAACTCCTACGATTGCGCGACTTTATAATTTACGACACTGTTTTTCCAACGGTGAATATTTAACTTAAAAAGGAAAATCCAGTGCTTGAATTATTATCCGAAGTTATCCGGTCTTCTTCTCCCGATTAATAAATCGCAGTTACCAAAAAACGAACTGTTATCTACCGAATCTCTCTGGTGTTTTCATCCACCAGTTTCAGGTAATTTCCATTTTCAAGTTTCGCGGTTTGTCTTTCGTTTTTTTTTCTTTCTTTTCTTTTTTTCTTGGTTTTCTTTTTGCACCGTAAATCGATGCTATAAATTATCGAGTTTTGACTATTTGAATCGCGATGTTCCGTGAATGAAACATACCTCGTTAGATATTTATGAGAAGATTGTAAAAAAGTTATTAGGGTAAGCAAAAATAATTATTCTTTCTCGTTTAAGATTTTGTAATAAAAAACTTTATAGTTATAATAAAATTAATATTCTCTATTTCTTAGAGATATTATTTTTAAAAAAAATGATAGTTTAACAAATAATGTTTATTATTATAAATTAATTATTAAATTAATTATTAAGAAATTTAGAATTGTAAAATTTTTATTACAAAGTTGGAATATTTAAGAAGAAGAAATTTTGAGAAAATCTTAAGGAATTAATATTTTCTAACTGGTATTTTTCTAAACTTATTTACGAAATATATTTCTATAATTCTTATACATTTTTCTCATTATTTTTCTTAGTAATATTTCGTACATTTTTCGAACAATCAAATGCAATTCGTGATTTCGTTAAGCGTCTTTAAGAATCGATCTGATAAATCTACAAATCTATTATTCTATTCAAAAAGTTTGATAAGAAATTTGAACGATTTGCACACGTGAAATATCATTTTCAAAACGTTCCAACCAACTTGTTTCCTCGTGCACCGTATACTGTGTGCATCTTGTTACGGAAGTAAATTTTTCGCAGCCATTGAACATGGCGCGGATAAACTTGAAAATTTGATGCGCCATGCCAACCTTAAATTGGCTTCGTTATTCCTTGATTCGTTATCTATACGGATTTTCGAGTACAAGAGCGTGGTTTCGTTCCTGAAAATATGCACATCTTGTAATATTTAACTACGTCTGATCCCTTTATTAATCGGATGTTGCACCATATCACGAGAAAATATTTTTCGCCGTTATAATTTGATGAAATTTGATTTTCGCGATTTATTTCGACTCTCTGTCGAAGATAATTATTGTTTAAAATTCGTGTGAAATTTATGATTAAATTGTTGATTTATCATTTTATTTTTACATCGTTATGGCTTGTTTCAGTTTTTTTCTGTTTTAAACTATTAATTAAAAAATTTATGAAAATTCCAAGTTACTTTCCATTTTTCATTTAATGATATATATCAATAATTTCATTGACTTTTATATGTGACTCGTTTGTTTGTTTAAATTTTTTTAAGAAATTTAACAAAATTCTGAATTACAGTCTCAGTTAGAGCTCTTAAACTATCTTCTTCACACAATGAATTTAAATTGTTTAATTAATAAATCAAAATTTATTGTCTATTTTGAAAATAAGTTTCCTACATATATATTAACATATGTGTAAAGATAAAATAATAAAAATTAGGGAAAAAGCTACCTAAAAAAGCAAGCGATGGATCCCAAATTATTAATCAAAAATCCCAAGATCAAATCTCGAGTCATGGATTCTATGATTTTTATATTGCTCTCTGTTATTTATTGTCTCTTTAGAATAATGAGAAAATATATACAATATATTAATATATTCCTGAAACCTTTGAAGATTCTAGGAACTAAAACAAAAGTTGATGTCAGAGAAATATCAGTTGGAATTTATTTATTAAATGATTAAATAATAAAAGATCATATTTTATACTTGAAAACCTCAAAGAGGTTACAAAGCAATAAAATACAAAGTTATAAACGATTCAAATTCGTGTTGAATGAAGCGAAACGAAGATCTATCTCTCAAGATTGCGTATTTCGAAAGCTGTATCGACACTGACTAAAAAAGTGTTGGTAAACCCGCATGTAGAAACATTGTAATTATATTTTATCGCACTTCTGTTAATTGCAACCTGTATTTAGAAGCTATTAAGTTTGTTAATATTTTAAACACAATGCAACATCATTCGACAGAAAGAATCAAATGTTTTTTTTTTTTTTTT